GGGGGGGGGGGGGGGCAGAGCAAAAGTTTTTGTGGAGGTTGGGAAGGATGATTTCGACTATGGTTTTACACGCTGGTTCTCTCGCGAGGGTAGGCAACTTTAATTGACTTAAGTCGACACGACCTTATTCTCAAATTAGAGATCTAATTGCGATAAGGTCTCCATAACGTACGTAGATGGGCTGGATGAGGGAAAGTGATAGCGAATGAGTATGCAGGGTGTACGAGAGAGAGGGTGTGGTTGAGGAAGGTCCAGCAGGAAAAGAGAGGGTGTATAGAGGGGGAAAGCAAGAAAAAGATAATTTAAACCCTTAGCAGAATGGTAGATCGGCGTAGACACTGGTTGACTGACTGGAAATGTATATAAATAAGGTATGAGCATTGTTGCAAAGATACTTAAGGGTTGGGATTTGATGCTGCGAAGGACAATTCAATTATCTTGATACGCCACTGGGAACGCCGAATCCCCAAACGTTTTTGAAATACGACGTGACGATGACAGAGGGTAGCCGTGTCCCTGGAGAGATGGGGTATCGTTTTCTTTTACTTTTTGTCCATCCTCATCTCTCTTTAATCCCTTTTTTTCGTTCACTTCACGCGGAAGAGCGATGAGTCGCGAAAGCGATCGACCTGACGTCGAATTCGAGAATGTTCTAGAACAATATTAAAACACGTTACAGACGTATTACGAGATATCTCGCCTTTCGCATTCCATCGTCGGAGCCTGACCACGAGGTATCTCGCGTTCAACATTTATCTTCAAATATACCTGGCTACTGGGTGTAGTTAGCAATAAAACGTTTGATTAAGAAATGAGGGGTCCAGAAGGGAAAAAAGAACAAATCCAGTATCGATCGGCGGTGAAAGTTGCTGAAAAGATTTTTTTCTTGATTCCGTTCGGCAGTGGGTATTAATGTAGGGGTTGAGCACGACTAGTATCTCCCAAGGGTGGTGTATGCAAACCGTAGTAAAAGCTACCCTTAAATCCAGCGCCACGGACAGAAGTTTCGCTCGTACAGTAAATCCCGGATTATAGGCGGGCCCCCACAGGCGAATTTTTTTACCTGGTATTCAACGTGTCTTGCCGGAGATTTTTTTTCTCCTGGATTTTTCATCCCTTCATTCTTAAGGGTTTACACCCCTCCCCGACCCTCCCCCACACGAAAACGCGTCGTATAGGTGGTACGCGTAGTATGGCATACATGGAATATTCTCGTGTGCGTAAAAAAGTTTTAGAACTCCTAGGCTCATCCCCATCTGCCTTCTGTCGTCCCCTAAAAGTCAGCCTCGTGCAAATCAAGCTGCTATCTGACGTCTTGTTCTCAACGTCAGTCTCTGCTCAGCCAAGACGCTAGCGTCGCGACGGTGACGAGTCGAAGAAAATTTATAGTAATACTTATGAATTACATTAGCTCCCAATAGACATGTCTCGGTCGTTTTCCTTGTCACGCTGTTAATAAGTCAATTCGCCGCGATAGTACCGGAAGTGGACGGGAAGCGGCGTCGAGCTGTAAAGTTCATCGTTGAAAAATTTTTATTATTTTTTTTTTTTTCCCCCTAAGGGTTTAAAAGGCACGAGGCGTCTGGAAGGGGCCATTAATTTTGTTTGGAATTTTTGTAAACTGACCTTGTCATTTTACATCCCCTCTACCATTACCCAACACTGCTGCTGATTATCGTTATCATTGTACTCACGTTCCTTACAATTGGCAGCCATAGGGCTGTCGAGGTGGGTCGAATATGTGATAAACTTTTTTTTTTACTGGATACAATCAGTTATAAAAGTTTACAGAAACGGGGAACACAATACATACTATATGTGGTACATCACAATAGCGGTTAGAGAGCTTATTATCTGTGTATACATATATATAATTCTATATATAATATAGAAATACGCTTTTCTAAAATCACCGTATCTGGTAGATAGGACGTTATATTTTTTTTCGTAAAATTGGATATTGAAAGAAATACTGTATACGATGAAGGCTATATGTATATATATATATATATATATATATATATATATATATATAAACAGTGTAGCAATAATGTGGTTGGGAAATTCTACAAGAATTTCAGCGTCGCTCTACGGGCAGCCCGATGCACATACGGCAATTCATATTTATATGACCGTGTTGTAGTACGGAAAAAAACATGGTTCCGTGGTTCACGTTTTTTTTTTTTTTTTGAAAACTATTAGCATTACCGAGGTCAAGCGTTCTTTTCCCTGTATCTCATTGGTCGTTCACACATAAAATATCTACGTACTTATGCGGACTCATATAGGTTCATGAATAATATACATATAGCTAGTAGTATGTCTTCGAAAATTTTGTTTATTTAATTTTTTTACACTATCTATCTATTACTCTTCGTCTTTCCTTCTCTCCTTTTCTTTTGCATCTCGTGCAAGTTTGGTACTTTTTTTTTTTTTCTGTTTACTCATGTATTCCTACTTACTCAATAATTCCTTTTTCAGGTAACGTGGTGATCATCGCCTCGACTCTGTGTCCACGTCTGAGACCGCTGCCTGCGACACCCACCAACGTCTTCCTGGGCGGATTGGCCAGTGCTGATCTTCTCTTGATTATTTTCTGCATTCCCGTCAAGGTAGGATTCTATACTCATAATTTAACAGTCATACCTTTGGTAGACGTACAGGCTGATAAACGGACGGCTGGAGCAACGGGGTTTTGGACAACAGGATTATCGCTGAAGTGAGAAGAATTTTTTTTTGAAATTATTGGTATACCATTATGATTGTAAGTCTTACTGGTTTACTTTTGTCAGTGTTACTTGAATTGTTGTTGTTGGAGTTATTGTCACTAGACATTTTTGTATCCAAATACCATCGCTTCAGTATTGACTGCTGTACATATTTGCTTCGTCCGGTCTTGTTCACTGATCATTTCCGTGACAACGGAAAAGCTGCGTAGTAGGATTTTGTTTTGTTTTGGTTATTTTAATGAAATTCTGCAAAGCCCTAACAATTCTTTCTAAGGGGTGAGCTCGTGTAGACTCTGGTTTTCTCTCGGTGTCTCTTTCGCGAGTCGAATACAAGTTTATTTCTGAATTGAGCAAAGACGCCGATTGTTGGACGTCCCGACGGCCGGACGTTCACCATGATTTACACGGCAACTAGCTGCCGTCGTAACTCTTCGCTCCAGCGGTAAATGCCGTCGACATAACTGTGGCTTCATAAAGTGAAATCTTTGTTATTTTTTCCTTTCCTCTTGTTATTCTTCTCTTTCTCTTTTTATTTTTACGAGCAAGTCGATGACGGAACTTCGCAGCCGTTACCATTACACGTATACAACACGTGGCGCACGATTCTTCCAATTTTCGATACTTTATTAACGTGCTATTGGGTCGATCTTGGTAAAGTTTATACGGAGCTGATTGAAGACAAAGAAAGCACCTGTTGCATACGCCATTTTGTTTTATCTCTCCGCAATAAAATGTTCGCTATCGAAAGTCTCTCGGGAACGAAACTTACGAAAATAACATGGAATTTACTCTGGCATTTAGGCTAGGTCCTCGTGTCACACCCTTTCATCCTTTTATGAACCCCCGTCAACCCCCGTCAGACCGTGACGCGATATTTGAATAAAAACTGATAAAAACCGACGTGAGTCACAGACCGTGTCGATTACTGTGACGGTGGACTCATCCGAGCGACAAAACCGTTACGGATATTTGAGTTGAAAGTATTTCCCGTCTGGCGCCACCGTCGCTAGTCACACTCAATTGATATACGGTCGATAAGTCAGACACGAAATGCTCCCTTGTCAAAGTTTATCGCTTGACGATTGGCTGATACAATATTTGCGTGATTTTGAAAGCCCCTCGTTCACACTATACCGGGTGTGCCAGGGGAACGTTTCGTATTGAAAATTAAAAAATTTCTGATCCCGCAGGAATAACTCGTTCGTTAAAATTGCGTCTATTTTACGGTCACCCCGCTTATAAATACTGACTTAGCAATACCAATTCGAACCTGCATCCAGGTTTGGAGTTTCTTGTGGTACACCCGGTATAGTCCATTTTCACGATGCGTTATATAAATTTACCACTAAGTCCAAGTACTCACAAGCACTGTGGGTATAGACCCTATAATGTTGATCACTGATTGGCTGCTGTTTCCATTGGCTTAAAGGCATTGATAATCGGCTGGCGGCGACAAGGGGGTTGTGAACGGGAACCCTTTATCTCGCTCTACGAGACAATTGACCACCACTGATAGTCCAACTGCAGATAATACTAGCGAAGTCTCTATTAAATGATTGGACGTACTTATTGTAGACCCTTGTAAAAGCCACCGACCGAACCGACTACTCCGGCAACCTTAGAGTACGTTCATTCCTGCGTTTCATGATAAATTGTACCGGTACACAGAGACCGCCTGTGGATTGTAAAGTACGATCCAATAGAGACACAGTCGTCTTATATCTTATTAAATTGTCGTAAGTCGGATATGGAATCGAAAAAGTCATTCGTTTCTCCGATGGTACGTGGAACGATATGGGGAGATCGGGATAACCTGGAAAAAAACGTCGTCAGGTTACAACTCGAGCTTTGACGTAGAGGGGACTCTTTTGCAGTGTATGCCACTTGGAAATGGCCCCTTCGGTGCTGAGCTGAGATCAAATAATCTAAGCTAACCTATTTCCTCTAACCTAACCTCATCGATTCGAGTAAAGCGTTATGCGCACATCGGCGGATCTTATTTGCATGAAAATTTTATTAGGGATAAGGCGTAACCTAAAGCTATCCATGTAACGGGTGCGTGGCTGTTTTATTATTTATTTATGGATTCTGTTAAGTAGCGCTATTAATTAGTGCCGTATATTACCGCGAGAGGAAGACGACAAAGGGGTACGCGAAAGAAAAGGAGGCGAGGCGGTTTTTCGTAAAATTTTCCAATTTTTTTTCAAAATAATTAATATCAGCTGCTGGACGACGTGGAAATATTAACAATAGGTTATTGAATTGTTTATTTATCTATTTATACGGAACTTCAACGTATCTCGATCCTCCTGGCCTCTAACTGCGGGAGCAGCTTATAATTGTCGATCAGTGGCGCCATCTGTAACACGTTTGAAATCCTATACAGCGCACGGCATCGTCGATAAATCACGTTTGCCCTTTTTTTTTTATCGACGATATTTCTTGCCCCCTTTTTTCACTGTATTAATATCCTCCACGTGGTACGAATCTCGCGCAGTAGGCGCTACCTCGCGGTATCATTTTATTCACGAGAATTTATATCCATCCGATTTAAACGAGCGTCTCGTTGTCCTGCTCTATGCTATCGCGACTGTAGCAATATCGACGTTAATGTAGGCACAGTGAATCGGGGACCGGGCGAAGGGACAAAGATGTGTTGCGGATATTGTTTTTTTTTTATGTATAAAAAAAATGTTCAACATCTGCTACACCTCAAAATCAACCTTCGACTTTCCCACTAGTACGAATCGTCTGCTGCATTTTTATTTTTTAAGCATTTTTGTTTTTCAATCCGACGTGAAGTGGTGTTCCGTGGCCGACGGCAGCGCCATCTGTGAAATACGTTTGAAAACTAATCCAGCGAACTCCTTATTCAGGCTATTCCGTTCTTTCTGTATGTTTTTTTAATATTTTTGACGTGCGTGTACCCCCCCCCCCCC